AAAAAAAAAAAAAAAAAAAGTTGAACCAATGAACCTGATTTCATATCTTTAATATTTTATGTCAAAACTAGAAATTAATATTATTTGGAAACAATAATATTATTTGAAAACAGCCAATGGCCTCTTAGCCTACTGGTTAAGTGTGAGGTACCCATGACCAGAGGTCATGGGTTCAAGCCCCCGGAACGCAGATGTTGGAACAATTAATACTGAGGGTTACAAGCTGTAGTGTGGGAGGTTGAAACTCGGTGAGAACCAGCGGCGGTGTGGGAGGCTGAAACTCGGTGGGAACCAGCGGCTGGATAGGTGGGGCCAACATGAAGTTGGGGGGCCAGCATGAAGCAACCACTTCGGTGGAACCCTGTGGCTGGATAGGTGGGGCCAACTTGGAGCTGAGAGGGTCAGCGAGTAATCACTTGGGGATCGACTCTTTGTGCGCGGTAGTTGAGGGTGTTAGGAACCTGAAAGTCATTGCGTGGCTACCGCGATTTAACTGGAGGCAGTTTCTGAAAGGCCAAGGGTTGTTTCCTCGATGAATAGCCATGTGCAAACCTGAAACCTCCGTATTAAAAAAAAAATATATATATTATTTGAAAACAGACAAGCAACTTGTGATTGACTCAAACTTTTAAAGTAATGACTAATGAGATTGAGATATGAGATCAGATGCACCAGTTTTTAATCAATTTTTTAATTGAATAATCATAATTTCAAACTTAAACATTCTACTTAAAAAATAACATAAATAAAAAGTACAATATTTTATAAAATAAATCTATGCTTTTTTTGTTTAATAAAATTATAAATCACTCTAAATTGGCTTAAGCAAGAATTTCTCATACTCCCTCCTATTTTTTTTAAATGTCATTTTATCTTTATCAACTATTTGCTAAATAAATGTCGTTTTGGATCTTTTGTACATATTTTTCTATTATTACTCTCATTTAGCCAATAAATACATTACGTCTTTTCATATTCATTCTTTATTTTTTTTCAAAACATTCATCTCTCTCTTCATTAAATAAGATTATTATTGACAAAAAAAATAATCTTAATTAATGTGCAACTTCTCAAAACGACATATATTAAAAATAGGAGGTAGTACTTATTAATTTGTGACGTCCAAGCCTCGTGATATGTATTTCAGTCTATACCACGTCGGCGTATGGGTTTTTTTTTTTTTTTT